TTTTTTTTTTTACGGTTCACCATTTTATTTTTATTTTTCCCCTCTTGGTTAACTGTGCGTTACATTTTGCGTCATTGTAGCCAAGGTCCTGATCTCTCTGCATCGCTCATCTCTCTAGAGTACTTTATCCCTTTAGTACGTTTCAGCTTAGTCAAAGATGGCTTTTCCTGTACACTACCTGGGACGTTCTTGTACAGACATAAGCTGAACATATGGACTCTTAGGAATTATTTCCTACCATGAGTTATCTTATTTCCTACCATGGGTTATCTTATTCCCTACCATGAGTTATCTTGTCCGATTGCAAGAACTGGAGCCATTAGCATTCTTCACAAACCGCCCCAGATATTGGCGTCGCAAGAATCTTTGGGCAAAGCGAGACTATTACAGTATAAACGCGGAGCACTGACGTCGACATAAAAGGGGATGCCATCCCCTCCTTCCCTTCAAAATAGTCTTTGAAGCCTGCCGCTTTTCAGAGGGCTAGCACTATTCTCGCTGATCCTTGTATTGGCTGATTACCTGGCCTTGCTCCCCTAGGTCCCGAAAACCTGCCAAATGCCCAACTTTAGCGACCACGAGTACCCGGACTGTGATTCGGGAAAACACGCACCAATGCGTCCGGATATACGGAGGCGGATGCTCAAACGAGCATGCCTCAGTCACGGCCAACTCCCCTCTAAAACGGCCCTTGATCTCATTGACGGCGTCGCGGATACCGATCAAGCTAAGAAGCTGCTTGATCAATCGGACGGAGAGACGAATGTCCTCTTCGACCTATGCGAATCGTTAAGGGTGCATCTTCAGAGGATGCGAAATCAAACCAGCGGTGCTGTTGAGCAGTGGATGCATTCACCAGATGCGGTGAGAGTACGATATACAATCGAACCATGAGGACAAACAGTGAGGTTGGGGTGGCACCTAGAAAATTCCCGATAAAACGGCGCGACCTCCCAGTCGAGAGAAAGACCCTCTTCTGATACTTTATAACTCTAAATAGTCCAAATCCTTCGTTGTTGTTCTTATTTTGCTTTGCTCTTCCCAGAGGAATTCGCGACGAATGTAAAGAGACAAGATCATGTCCGTACGAAGGTGTCTCCTGAAAGTGCCGCATCATCTCAACCGTGGAGTCAAAGTGCGTTGATCCACGAGTGATTTGATAAAACATGTCCCTTCAGACGTCTCTTCTACAGTACCTCTTGCATAGAACCGATTGCTGCTGATCGGCAGTTGCAAACGTTCCCTCTCGCGTCGAAATATAACACTACTCTCGGAATCTATCTAGGACGATGAAGTTGGGGAGGAATCCTCATGTAAGGCTCTTGGTCCACTCTCTGGAATCAACCTCCAGTGGAAAATAAACACTGGTCATCGCGACTTCTTTCACTTGCAGAATGGCCCTTCTCTTCGTTCACCAAACACTCATTCTCGTCAATACCAGCAACGCGCCAAACGGCAATCTAAGCTAAAAGCCCCGGATACAGGCTTATAAGTGTGGCATTATGCATTTCAAAGAAATGTTTCAGCGCCGAAAATCACCACTCTAAGAAGACTAGTATCAATATATCTGGTAAAATCGAGTACTCGATGCCTCGCGAGGAAGACTAACTAACCACAGCCATGTCTCCACGACCCAATCTAATCAGCCGTCAGGTGAAAACTAAATTCCTACCCGTAGAAGAACCCTACGTCCCTACGTCATGATATTCTCGCGTGGCTCTCCACATTATGAAATTCGGCCTTGGTACCTCACGTTCTGACCCGATAATCTTTCTCATATAAGTCGACATGGCTCTAAAAATGGCTAGTGAATAACTAGTCAATTGCCACTACTTTAATACTGTAGACACTCGGAGTGCAAACAACCAATATTACGACGGATTGCAATCACTGGCTATGCCCTTGTCGTTACCTCAATTAGATTCCTCATTCCTCATTACCGTCCTCTGAGGCTCTGCCGATACGTGTCGGGATCTTTACATCAAGCTTCCGTAAATTGAAAGATTGATTGAGACAGCTAGAGTTCACATCGAAGCATACTTTCCGCGAATGAAATTGAAGTTCTTCCATCGTCGAATGACCTACTAACCACCTCTACCACTTCTGAGGGCATCGCATTACTGAGCAGGAATCTTGAACAGGATATCTGTGGGCTCGACAGCCCTGTCAAACAACGATGTGCCAGGCTCCATAATGCAGTTCAAAAGTCGCGTACTGACTGTACGCTTCTCCGGGCGGGAGAGTACGAACCTCCCGAAGCAAAATAATGAGAAAAGGCGCGAGCATCAACAGGCCCACAGTGGTCGGCAGGACCAAAATCATGACTTGTATTGATATTTTGATGGCGTGAAGAAAGCACGACGCAGAGCGATCGGGAATCGCAAAAAGTGTCAGAAAAACCGCTAAAGGTCAGAAAGTAGGTCACACATCCCCCAGAACTCCTCAAGACCTCGTTAGAAGCTCCTACACATGCCGAGGAAGCGGAAGGAGGCATATGCGAGATCAAGCCCATGAGCTGGAAAGTTAATGTTTCATTTCGCGACATTGTGATTGCCCACTCGAACCCTCATTATCAGACCAGCAAACATCCTACTTATCGTGCAATCGTGTTCAGCAACATAAACGCAGTCCTTTTCAGACCATGAAATATAGCCATAGATTTATTCCACACACTACTTAGTTACGCTATAACTATATGATTATTATACCATAAAATTTCTTATTATATACAGGACTAAGATTACCCTCCATCGAGAGTAGGAGTTGTGAGATCTTTACGCAAGACTAGCCACATCAGCACATGTGCTGGTGCCTGCTTATCTTCGAGGTCTTCGCATCCTTTCCACTCAGTGGTTAGTTTGCAGACAATTGGTTGGAATCGTTTTATAGGCGCCTCAAAACCAAGATTGGAAGGTGCCTTTAACGAAAAGCATCACCGCGCGACGGACTCGAAGTGCCCATCGAGGCAACGCAAGAAACAAAAATTCCCCATCGGACGTAGACAGTCCCAACCAGGAGGAAATATAGACGAGACAATTGACTCTCTTATCAAGGAGCGCAAGATCGAAGAATCGAAAAGTACCATTCACAAGGCTGTTACAATGGGAACGCCTCTACACGAAAAGGCATCGCTGGCCATCGTCGCGGATTTCATTAAGCGTGATGACATGGACGGGCTCAAGGAGTACAAGCACGGCCGTCTCAGCTCTCAACGCAATTCGTATCAAATGGCGAAGAATGCAATTGAGTTGGATGCCGAAATTGATGTGTCCTCTTGCCAACACTCGTCTAAAGCGTTTGGACCACTTCTTGAAGAGATATATGATTTGATGGCAAGAATCCAATCTCCGAACCCTATTCAGAGCCCTGTTCAGGGTTCTCTACAAAATCCGGTCGTGGATGATGCGCAGTTCCACGCCACGACGCAACGCCTTCAAGCATCTGTCGATACAGCAATACACATAACGAGGGGCACCGGATTGCGAGGGCAACATTACGTGGATGGGGCTGTTGCTGCACTCAACGCGCATCTTGCGACGGGAGGATTAGAGCAGGTACGAGCACCTATTGTCAAGGACGACGGCATGCACGGTGTGCTCACGGGGTTGTCTTTGATGCCGTAGGTAGAGCTTAATTAGCTACTCTTTAAAGCGATTCGTTCGTTTTCACGTGTGTTCTTTCAGTGATTTATTTTTCCCCTGTCCTATTCACGGTGATGGTACACCCCGACAACTACATGGAGCTGTGATTCCTAGTCCCCTCTTATACTCACCAGCCACTAGCCCAAAGCGGAACCGAGAGACCGAGGTACTCTCCTGACTCGCAAGCGCAGAGCACGCGGCTTACTAGTACTGGCTGGCGGCCACGAAAACTTCATTTTCCGGAACCAGGGGGTCGAGCTCCAGGCTCATAAGCGAATTGGCTGGAACAGACTCGAGCAATACTAGTATGGGTCTGCGCGCGGCCGCGGGGGGCCCTAGTTGGATGGTCTTAAAATTCCAGATTTTCTTTCCTTGTCGTGATGTAGTTGCGAGTCCTTCGAATGCACAGAGGGCGTCTGCTCCTGTCTTGGTCATCTCAGCTTCCTACGCCAACGATAGCGAGCTGGCCCCGTGCGAGCACAGCCATCAGATACCACGACAAGATGTGATTCATCACCCTAAGGTGCTCCACGTGCTCACGGAGGACTTAGTTATGTTGTCCAAATCGACCAATTTTAGTGCTCTGGAGGACTCGGGCTCCTTCGAATCTATCTAGCTATGACCACAATGACCTCGATAGGGTTGCTCGTCGCAGAGAAGAGCTTCGCTCTTCTCTGCTGTGATTTCGGGGAGATCACTTCAGTCTGTAGGGGAACGCGTTTTCCCGCTGGAGAACACTTTATTTGGCGCCCGCGGCGACAGCGTGAAGCTGCCGCCAGCGACGTGCTAACACCGAACACCGGGTGAAGGCGTGATCCAAGCTGCTGGCGAGAAGCAGCTGCTTCGCGTGCTTGCGAAGGGCGACAGAAGGCATTGCATCCCAATTCCAGCCGTCATTGTTACGCTATTCCCCTCCATCTTACTGCGCAAGTGCACAGGAACTGTGCACTTGCGCGAGAGAATGTATATCGTCATCCTTCTCTTTGTATATATAGATCTTTTCTCCTATCCCGTCTTGCTCTTCCATAGCATGTCTTCGCAGGGCGAAGCACCTCGTCGCAAAGGGGCGGTATTGAGCTCGTGGGTGTGATGGATACGCAGCAGCAGAGAAGGACGAAAGGGATGCGGCATTACAGTGGAACAAGTCGTCAAAACCGACCCAAGAGCGTCGAGTCCATTGTAATGCACTCTATCAAGTCAACCAAGCTTAGGAATAATGCGATTCGTCGAGCAAAAGGGTTTCCTTGCCCCTAGACAGCGGAGTGAGTTGCCCCCGGGTTAAACAGTTGGAGGCCAGCCTTGTCAAGCGGACATGATGTTCCGCGTCGTGAAGGCTTCGCTGCGTCCGTGCGTGGTTGTAAAGCAGGTTAAAGTGCTACTTTCCTACGGTGTTCGCACCGCCACGATACCAGATCTCGACCTCTTCACGATAAGCACTTTTGAGGGAACTAAAAACGGTGAGATAGCGCGGGTGGAGCTTGTGCGAGGTGTGCGAGGGGAGCCGGCAGAGTATGATGTTGTTCTCGAAACAAAAATCCAAATCTCTTCGCATTCATGTGTTCCAAAGCCATTTTTTTTTTT